AGTTCTTTGGAATTCCGCCGAAATTTCTTGTGAGTCCATAGGAATTCCACGGAAATTTTGTTTAATTCCACGGGAATTCTTCAGATTCCATGTAATTTTACCGGAATTCCACAATAAGATTTCAAGGTTAAAAATTGTTTTAAAAATGTTTGCTAGAAAATGGAGAAAACTCAAAGCTCCGTACTTTAAATCAGTTTTCCCGTTCGAAAACGGCCTGAAAAAGCGAAAAATCCGAAGAAAAACCAGCACTCCAAAGCCTACTTGATAAAACCAAATTTTTTTCTCACTTACCTCATTGGAAAACTGGAAATTTTTGACACAAAATATAGGAAATCCAAAGCCTCGCATTTTAAATCGGTTTTCCCAACTAAATAAGCCCTGGAAAATCGGAAAATTCGAAGAAAAACTGGATGAAAATGTATAAACGTCAATTGAAAATGGCCGACTGTCAAAACTGACAAAAATTACATTATTAAAAGGCCTACTTGTGATGGAAATCTCGTGAAGTTGGCCTCAAGTGGTGTTGCCAAAAGCATTTTAAATGGAATTTTGTTAATTACGGCATTTAAGACTGGAAAATTTTTCTAGAAAATGAAGAAAACTTAAAGCCTCGTATTTTAAATCAGTTTTCCCATTCGAAAACGGCCTGAAAAAGCGGAAAATCCAAAGAAAAACCAGCCAAAATAACATTCCAAAGCTTACTTGATAAAACTTGAGTTTTCGTTACTTACCTCCTTGGAAAACTGGAAATTTTTGGCAGAAAATGAAGGAAATTCAAGGCCTCGTATTTTAAACCAGTTTTCCCGACTGAAACGGCCTGGAAAAGCGGAAAATTCGAGAAAAAACTGGATAAAAATGTAAACACGTCAATCAAAAAATGGCCGACTGTCAAAAGAAAAGTAACAAATGACATTTCATTACAAGGCCTACTTGATTCAAAGCGGCGCTGCCACATTTCAAATAGGAAAAAAATAGATTTGAAATGGTTTTTTGTTTTAAATTTAATTAAACAATCAATTGATAATGTTTATAAATGTTTGTAAAAAAATTAAGCAAACTTAAAGCCCCATCCTGAAAACCACCTCTTTCCAATTAAGAAAGCCCTGGAAAAGCGGAAAATCCAAAGAAAAAACCACACTCCAAAGACTACTTGATAAAACTAAAGTTTTTCTCACTTACCCCATTGGAAAACTGCAAATTTTTGGCACAAAATGTAGGAAATCCAAAGCCTCGTATTTTAAACCAGTTTTCCCGACTGAAAACGGCCTGGAAAAGTGGAAAATTCGAGGAAAAACTGGATAAAAATGTAAACACGCCAATTCAAAAATGGCCGACTGTCAAAAGAAAAAGTGGCAAATGATATTTCATTACAAGGCCTACTTGATTGGAAGCGACGTTGCTACATCTCAAATAGGAAAAACAAGAGGGATTTGCATCTCTCTCTGCACTATGGCGGCTATTGAGAACAGCTGTTTGAAGTGTTTGGATCATTGACGTTAGGAAGATGAAGAAGCTCTTCTTTCTTTCACGTTAATCGCAATGAGTGCGAGCGAGACAACAATCCCTCTGTATTGCTGGGTTGCATATATCAAAATTCGGCACACTAGCATAAAGCAGTGCGCCCGTTCCAGAGTGTTTGTTCAGTTCAATGGTATAATATGATGTCTACCATTTTTTAAGACTGACTTAATACTAGGGGCATTTTCAAACTTTTGACAAATGTCAACTGTCAAAAATTAAAAAATTTCTTGAAACAATTTGAGTGTTTTTCAAAATGTATTTCTCGGCTTCACTTGACATTTGATTTTAATTGGTCATTTTTGACCAATCGGAAACGAACAAATCAAACGCAATTCTGATTGGTCTAAATTGTCCAATCCTATAGTGGAAGCTTTACATTAGGCATTTTTTAGCGAGATCCCAGTAATAACCGTTTATAACCCGTGCGGTTATACACGGTAACAGTGGTAACACTCCCACTTCAAAAATATATCCCTACCATTGGCGGATTTCTAGGATTAAACCGCTTCTCGCTAAAACGGAACGGTTATCAAAATTTTACAGTAAGGTGAGGTTAGCTTATATTTTATGGTAAACATAAAAGAAATGGAGTCAATAATTAAGTCCTTATTACTAATTGACGATATTATGTTTGAAAACACCCTGTATATTCTAATTTCCAAGTTTTATCGAGTCAAGCATAGTAGTCCCTTGAAATATATATTGCGAGAAAGTCATGAGAGACAGCTTATAGACCATAATGCGAGATCTGCCATTTTTTGATATCCTCCAATAACAAAAAAACCTCAGAAAAAAACTCACTTTTACAGATCAAAACAATCACAAATGAATCTGAGGTTAGAATTTTTCAGTTACTCAACTCTCTACTTGGGTATCAAAAACAATAACCGTGTTATAGAATGATGATGTTACTTTAGGCATTTTTTAGCGAGTTCCCGTTAGTTCCCGTGTTACAAGCGGTTACAGGAAATATATAACCGATCCGTTTTTGCGAGAAAACGGTAATAGGGGAAGGTGTTTTGCTGTCATAAAGTAACGTCATCATTCTATAACACGGTTATTGTTTTTGATACCCAAGTCGAGAGTTGAGTAACTGAAAAATTCTAACCTCAGATTCATTTGTGATTGTTTTGATCTGTAAAAGTGAGTTTTTTTCTGAGGATTTTTTGTTATTGGAGGATATCAAAAAATGGCAGATCTCGCATTATGGTCCATAAGCTGTCTCTCATGATTTTCTCGCAATATATATTTCAAGGGACCACTATGCTTGATTCGATAAGACTTGGAATTTATTAGAATATTCAGTGTGTGTGGGTGTTTTCAAACATAATATCGTCAATTAGTAATAAGGACTTAATTTGACTCCATTTCTTTTATGTTTACCACAAAATATAAACTAACCTCACCTTACTGTAAAATTTTGATAACCGTTCCGTTTTAGCGAGAAGCGGTTTAATCCTAGAAATCTGCCAATGGTAGGGATATATTTTTGAAGTGGGAGTTTTACCGTGTATAACCGCACGGGTTATAAACGGTTATTACTGGGATCTCGCTAAAAAATGCCTTTTATGACTGCAAAACACCTTCCCCTATTACCGTTTTCTCGCAAAAACGGATCGGTTATTGATTTCCTGTAACCGCTTGTAACAGGGGAACTAACGGGAACTCGCTAAAAAATGCCTATTATAATTATTATTATGAGTCATGACAGTTTTTTTTTTTATTTCGTATATCCTTGTGATATCTCTTGCATTTATTTTATTTTATTCTGTCACTAATGTCATTTCATGACCAATCGCAATCGGCGTTGATGACAGATGGTTATCTGTCAATGAAAATAATTTATTAACAGCCGTTCGGCGTTGATCAAGGGAAATGCAGCCTAAAAGGGTGTTGTCGTGTGCGTTACCCCATGTTGATCCAGCCGAAGAGAGAGTGCCCGCGCTTTTCACAAACGTCATTGACAAAAAGGTCAACTAGACTAGGCGATTTCATATGGGCCAACTAACCGGCCGGGTTATTAAATTTGGTTACTGAACTTTTTCGTCAACAGTCGGCCGGAAATCGGGATATATTCTTACATTTTCAGAAAGCGAATCGGGACATTTCGGAAATATTTCTAAAAATTGGGACTGTCTTGCCTAAATCCGGACGTCTGGCAACCCTGCTTGGAATCACAGAAAAACGCCTTTGAAGTTTTGTAATTTTTTGACGAATATAAATAAAATTTCAATCAATATGAGATGTAAAATTAATTTCATTCAATTATTGAGTAACTATGCATTTTTATTTAGTTAAAAACAATACTTAGAAATTAAAAAAATAACATGACAACGTTACTCGTAATTCAGTTTCCAAACATCTGGCAACATAGCACATGAAAGCATGGTTCAGGTAGTTGAACGGATCATAATTGATTTTATGTTTTATGATGTTTACAAACGTCGAATATGCATATTCGTTACTTGTTTATGTAGAATTGTTACGAAATGCTCATTTAGCCGCTAGCATTTACAGGGAAAGATTTCCTAATAGGACGGCACTGAATAAAAGAACATTGTGCCCACTGTTGTCGAAGCTACCGAAATTTTGGTATTTCTACCGAAATGGCACGGACCTACCGAAATGTTCGTGTGGAGATGTTGAGAATATTATTATGTCATCCATATATATGCACTAAGCACATTTTATTTTGTAATCCAGACAATACATTGTCCATTGCTCTTTGGAATGTTGCTGGTGCGTTTTTCAAACCAAATGGCATTCTTCGAAATTCAAAATGACCATTTTCAACATTAAAAGCGGTTTTTGATATAGAATCAGGATGCATTTCTACTTGATGAAGTCCTGAAGCTAGCTAGGTCTAAGGTTCTAAAGTAATTACTGCGACCTAATTTGTCTATATAGTATATTTGTGATGTTTGGTAAAGGATACCTATCATCAATTGTTTTTTCATTAAATTTTTTATACTCTACCACCATTCTCCATTTTTGAATATCGTAGGCATCTTTCTTTTTCGGTATTATCTAAACTGGGGATGACCAAGGACTGCATGATAGTCTAATTAAACTTAAGCAATCTAAGTTCTAAGTATCCGTACGACTGCGCCAAATTATATTTTTGGTTCAAAAACTTGTGTTTTAAAAAACCTTCCAGAACAAATTCATTCCAACGATGATGGGCCTCAGTTTCAGTATATGCATTCAGAGATTCTGGTATAAAATATGATTTTTGTTTAATTAATTACTAATACTCTCTATCTGACTTCTAACGCAGAAGTTGAGACAGCTGTTGAAATAGTCAAAATTTTAGTTATCCCAAAGACTTGGATTGGACTTTGCTAGTTTATTTCACAGTTAATAATACCTCTTGCTTGCATGTGGACTGAGCCCATCTGAATTACTTATGAATTATTTCAACCTTTATGAGCTGACTGCAGGTCTACAATTAGTTTAAATAAGCGTTTTTTGTTTGTTAGATTGGCCAGCAATTTGTCCGGACATCATAACCAAAGCCCGCTGGGGAGCCAGAAAATCTCATTCTGTCGAGTACGCCATTGTTCCAGTTCCAAATGTTATTGTCCATCACACGGTCACTCCGAGTTGCGACACTGAAGAAAAATGCTCGGGTACACTAAGGGAAATTCAAAATTACCACATCGACACCATGGAGTATGATGACATCGGATATAAGTAAGAACCTAGACCTAGCTATTTCCATATGGACAAAGGTCATGGCATCCCAGAATTTAATTTTCTCTTTAAGTTGATTTTGAAATTGTATAGCAATCAATTATTGAAATATTTTTTTTTTTTTTTTTTTAGTTTTATAATTGGAGGCGATGGAAATGTATATGAAGGAGTTGGATGGCATAAGATTGGAGCTCACGCGAGAGGTTTCAACTCTAAATCTATTGGAATTGCTTTTATAGGAGATTATTCAGGTAAATAATTGTAAATTATCAATAGTAATATAACTAGTGCAATGGAAATTATTGATAATTTCTGGGAAAGGACCCCGCACACTTCTTATGGCATTTCTGACCGCGGTCAAACACCAAATTTTAGTATGTTATAGATCTGACCTTTCTGATCAATAACTACCATGGGCTCAACTCAATCCTATGACTAGTTTTTGAGATACAGGGTGTCCAATGTGTGAATGTCCAATATGCATTATTACACCATGGAACGCATTTTCGATGAATATTACGATAATTATTAATAATAATTATTATTTATTTGTACTATACACTACAGGCTTTACCCAACAACCGGGCTCAAATGCAAGAATTAAACTGCTGGCCGAAAAAAAAACCGGTCAGGAAATTTTTAACACCTATTCAATTTGTGATTACTTTTCTAAAATTATTTTTTTTTTAATGAGGTTTTTGGTATTCGAAAGTCCATGTTGAATTTCAGGTGAGAAAAATACTTTTTTTTCGAAGAAATGCAGTTTTCAAGTTATATACAGGGTGAATAATAGACTGATGCAAAGTACAAAAAGTTTGGATGTCTGATGCCATATTGGCAATTTTTTTTTTTCGGATTTCCGTACACTTGATTGGATGTCCGGACGTATTGGCCAGTTTTTCGATAAGTGCCCTTTGGCAGCAGATACACTACTAAATGACAAAGTTGGCAAAATCTTGTAAGCACAATGTTCAAAAGGCTGTAGCTTGAAAACGGTTGCATCGATTTCGAACATATTTGCAGGTTTCGAAAGCTTTTTTTTTAGAGGTTCCACGACTCGCTCGCTTTTTTTGCAGCTGGCCCTGTTCACATTATACCAGGGGTCAAGAAAATCATACACCTCAAATTAGGCAAATTATGATAATTGTTCTTTTTAAAAATCTATTCAAATTGGTTTATATGCCTTTTGTTTGCTTTCAAAATTGGTTAGGCGATACTTTGGGCCAATATCTCGAGACGATTTGGACGGATCGTTTTTGCAAAACCTCCTGAAGATCCATTTTAGCACCACCATTTTGAAACGATGTGGCTTACGTTTTAATGGATTGTGAAACGTTTTCCCCCACTGTAAAAGTGTCCCGGAACCTTTAAAAAAATAATCTTTCGAAACCTGCAATGCTGTTCGAATCCGAGAAAAGAAATATGACAGACATCCAACTTTGTTCTTTTGCATTAGTTTATTATTCACCCTGTATATTACCTACTTGAGAAATGCATTCCTTAAAAAAAAAAAAATTCTAATGAGATATACATGGGCTTTCGAATACCAAAAACCTCATTAAAACAAACATAATTTTGAAAAAGTTATTACAAATTGAATATGGTGCTAAAAATTACTTGTCCCGTTTTTTTTTTTTTGCCAGCAGTTTATATGACTGAGATAGGGACTACTATATAGCCTACTTTCTTGAGCCAGTTGTTCCGAGTCTTGCTCCATATGTAGTCCCTAAATTCTGAGGCACAAAAATAAGTAAGGTTCGTTTCACCAGGGTTCATACTTTTGACATCGAAAATGCCATAATTTGGAAAAAAAGGGTTGTCGTAGATTAATTCATATGACATATTCAATTTTTTTGACAAATTAAAATGAATGACTTCTGGTTTAAGAACCAACAAACGTTTTTGACGTCATTGATTTGTTCCAGTCAATTTCCATTTGTTAAAAAAGGAAGGCAAACAGTATGAACCCTCACGAAACAATGCTTACTGAGAATATTAAATTAACAATAACCATGGTTATGTGATAACATTTTATAACCAATTTTTGTCTTTAGAAAGTTGTCAAAATTAGTCAATGCTTAAAAATGGCTTTTAGATTGCAAATTCAGTGTTTTATATGTGAAGTGGAGGGTAATCCCAGACAGATGGCAATCCTAAGGCAAAATGATAACCAAAAAGTGAATATTGCCAAGAGGCGAAGAGAAGAACTTTCACTACCGGCGGCAATGGAAGTGAATGGTAATAGTCGTCTATGCCTAAATTGCAATAGAAGCATTTTAGAGGAAATTCATGCCTATGAAGAGGACGCCGATCCAACGATAATGAATCTACCTTTAAAATATAGTGCACATCAATGTCTTATTTGCGAAAATCCTGAAAATATTCAACAATTATCGCTAGAAACAAGAGTTTCAACCTTTATACAAAAAGGTATATACATACCCAGCATCTGTAGGATTTGTCCTGTTCATCTGGACGATAATGGTTTTTTACTTTATCCCGTACAAAATGGAATTCGATCCCTTAGAAGGCCTTACGAATTAAAAGGAAGAGAGCTTTCTTCTTTCATGTCCAAAATGCAAGAAAGTAGCCAAAGAGATGTTATCTTTTCACATGAAAATCATTTTAGTGATGAAGAACTATGTGCATTATCTTCTTTAGATAAGGCGCAATTTCGGGAGGTATTCGATGTAAATATTTATGGGAGAAGTAGAACAATTACGAATAAAGATTTATTATGTTTTTTATGTAAACTAAGACAAGGACTTTCCGATATTTTCTTGGCAACTATGTTTTCGTACAGTAGTCGACAATCTGTGTCTTTAGCTATGAACAAGGTGAGAGAGTCTTTAATTCTTAATTTTGTGCCTCATAATTTAGGTCTTGCCCATATAAATCGGGAGCAGTTTATTGCACAACACGTGACAGTTTTCGCTAATCAATTATTTAATGACGAACCTGAAAATCCAAAAGCAATTCTTTGTATTGATGGCACCTATCTACATATTCAGCGCAGTAAAAATTTTCAAACTTTAAGACAGTCCTTCTCAGTCCATAAACATTGTCACCTTGTAAAACCAGTACTTATCGTCGCCCCAGATGGCTATATTTTAGACGTTCATGGCCCATTCTTCGCAGATTCAAGGAACAATGATGCAGCAATTTTAAGATGTCAATACGATCGAGATCAAGAACTTCAACAGTGGCTTCAACTGGGTGACGTATTAATTGTTGACAGAGGCTATCGTGATGCCCGTCAGTTTTTGAACAATGTTGGCATATCGGTACAAATTCCACCAGCTTTACAAGGCAGAAATCAATTACCAACTGCAGAGGCTAATGCTGGCAGAATTGTTACCAAACAGAGGTGGGTAATTGAAAGCAGAAACGGACATATCCAATCAATATTTAAAATTTTTCGTAACATTTTTCCAAATACGCAAATAAATAATTTGGGAAGCTTTTTCCGGATTGCTTGTGCCCTAATTAACCGTTTTCGTCCAACGCTACACATGGAGGAAGTCACGGAACAACTGGCTCAAGAAATGCTCCAAAGAGTAAACGAACCCAATGTACTTCAAGGCAGATTAGAAAATGTGGGACTTTTAAGACGCCATGGCAGATGGGAACCTTTACGAGAAAATCAATTTGGAGAGTTTCCTGTTTTAAATATGGTTCAGTTAAGACACATTATGTATGGCACCTTCCAAATTAAATTATCGCCATCCTATATACAGGATAATATTGAAGAGCATGGTAATCTTTTTTTTGAAATTGATACCATATTTAATCAGCCAAATCATATTCGTGTGAGAATTCGGTCAAGGCACAGAAATCAAGTAAAATGCCAACTAGTTATTTGTTATAATCCGGAACATGTAGCTGATGACAATATTGAGCAAGAAATAGAAAATGGGCCTATATTAGGTCACTTTTGCCAGTGCAAAACAGGTGCACGAACCATAGGTTCATGCGCACATATCGCAGCTGTCATTTGGTATTTGGGATATGCAAGGCATGAAGCTGTCATTAGATTACCTAATAGGACGGTTCTAAATGTAGTATAAGATGCTGCAGACAGACATATCTTACTCCAATAGTTTTTTTTAGATATTTTAATTTTTTTTAATCAACTGTTAATAGTAGGTAATGTATATTCTATTCTTACTTTTAGTTATGATAGCTTCTGCATTTTTAACAGGTTGTTTGGTACAACTTGTCTGTACATATAAAATCCACAATTGAACTTCAATATGCATGATAACGTCGTAATGGCCAATACAGAGGAAGATCTTCAACCAAATATCAATGCATTCAACCAGGCGTACAGGAAAATCGGCCTAGAAGTCAACTTTAACAAGACGCAGATTCTGCACCAACTTGCATCAGGCATTAATCCCCAAGCCCCAGAAATAACCATAAAATTATGAATGATCATTCTCTGCAGAACGTAGAACACTACTCATACCTTGGAGCCATCTGTCAGCGAATGCTATTGACGCTGAAATTCAACATCGCTTGAAATGTGTTAGCGCAGCACTCGGGCGACTTCTAGAGAGAGTCTCCGACAATCACGACATAATTGCTGAGACAAAACTTCGCGTCTACAATGCAGTTGTAATACCAACACTTACATATGGATGCAAACCATGGACCACCTACAGAAAACACATAAAAAGCCTAGAAAAATATCACCAGCGATGCCTGAGAAAGATCCTACAGATTAAATGGCAAGACCGCGAACGTACATTTAGAAGTAGTAGTGTTTTGAAGGACAGTCAACTGGAGGAGGGAAAACGGAATCAAGGAGGTCAACAAAAACGCTACAAAGTTGTTCTAAATAGGAACATATGGCAAAGTGCCGCATCGATACCAACGATACCGGACTGGGAGATGGCTTGGAGTCCGCGATGGACCACAAAGTTCTAAAGAGTAGCGACGCAGACACGAGACCGAAAAGATTTTCCTGGAGGAAGGAGCGAGAGAACAGAGGAAGAAACAATGCTGCTAGCTGTCAAAGGTTGGGTGTTCCAAGATTGTGGAAAAGCGTGTGGCTCGAGGTTTATTGTGCGAAAATCAGAAAATACATTCGTAAAAATCTTCTTTTTCTCATCTTGAGCATTTCACTGTTAGTAATGTAAGGAGAAACATGTTCTCGTCTATTTATGTTCAATATATATCGTACACAATTGTTCTGAATCTTTTGTAGTCTATATTTATGATGTTATGTTCTGTTAAAAAGGATCCATAAACACAATCTGCATAATAGCAGTGTGCCAAGACTAGAGACTCTAATAACATGATTTTGGTATTAGTAGGAAGAAGATGTTAAAATTCATAAAACTTCTTTAAAATAAAACATGTGTTGTGACAAAATGCACTAACATGCCCTGTAAAAGATACAGCAGGATCTAGCAACAATGCCTCAACACCTGCAAGCAGCTAATCTCTCGCATCTATATTCCTTCCAAACAAAATAGCCTTAGTTTATGATGGATTTACAACTAATGCATTCTTCTGTGCCCTAATAGGATCCTAATTAATTTTTCCCAAAACTAAGAAGTCAAGGTTATTCCTGAAAAATGACAGATATTCGTGAATGTATATATGGCCATCAGAAAACTCATAATCGACGACAATAAGAATAGTAGATAATCATACTCGGTATCGAGTGATCATCTATAATGATGATGACAGCCTCTATATTATTATTATTATTAATAAAATTAATAACAACTATCGTAAAAATAGTAATATTCATCGAAAATGCGTTCCATGGTGTAATAATGCATATTGGACATTCACACATTGGACACCCTGTATCTCAAAAATTAGTCATAGGATTGAGTTGAGCCCATGGTAGTTATTGATCAGAAAGGTCAGATCTATAACATACTAAAATTTGGTGAAATTTGACCGCGGTCAGAAATCCCATAAGAAGTGTGCGGGGTCCTTTGCCCGAATGCATTTTTAGTTGAAAAAGAGCACGAGTGCACGTAGTGCACGAGTGCCTTTTTCAGTTAAAAACGCATGAGTGCAAATTTGTCGAAAATTATAAATATATTTCCATTGCACGAGTTGTATTTAATGAGAGAATTTCATAAATCAAAAATTTAAATTTTTTGTCAAAAAATGTCAAAACACCAGTTTTCGCACCAGTTAGTATGCAATTATCTGATAATTTGCACTAGTGCAAATTATCGCGTAATTACAATCTGATTGGTTCAAATCAACAATCAAAACATGTCAATTTATTGAGTTGGAATACCAGTTTTGACAGATGTATGAAATTCTCATTGTTATGGTGTGAGCGTTTAGTTGAATTTATAATTTGTTTATATTCAAGAAAAAACCAATAGCATTTTAGAATGGACTTTATTGTCTCAAATATTGCAGTCAAGTCAGGAGGGGGATTCTCATCCTCTAGTCGCAACCTATCGTCCCGACTCACCCGTAGAAAGGCAATGGGATAGTCGGGACGATAGGTTGCGACTAGAGGATAAGAATCCCCCATCAGTTCTTCTCCAAATCTCATTTTATTATGTGCAGCTCAGAGTTTTTTTATTCATCCATATTACTCCATTGTGTGAAGTTATATTCTAATTTCCACCATTTTTTTTTAGACAATCGACCAAGTGAAAAAATGCTCAAGGCACTAAAAAACTTATTAGCCTGTGGCCTGGAACTGGGAGAACTGCATAAAGAATACAAATTGCTCGGAGCAAGACAAGTTATGGCAACTGCCAGTCCTGGCAGTGCATTATTTTCGGAAATAAAAACTTGGGCGCATTTTACCCGAAATACTTAATTCCACTGTGTAAAGATTCCCGATGTATATCTATATTATATAAAATAAAAAATAAATCTTATCTTAAACTTAAAATATGGTGTGAAACTTTTTTTCAGGTTAATCTTTCAAGTGGGCAGTGAAAAGTGTGTTTATCTTTGTCAGATCATTTCAAAATGACAAAAACAGACTATCATAAACTTAACAAAGAATGGAAGAGGTTCTATAATTTTAAAGTATGACTTGAAGTTAAGAATAGACTCTTAATAATTGCTTTCTTCTTCGATATTGAAGAAAATAAAGAAATTTTCGTTCAACAACTTTTCTTCTTTGATATACCCTCATTAGCTGCTTTTAGAAATGTAAACCCTCAATCGAGTAGGTTAATATCATAACTGATCGCGGTTTAGCTCGTTTTCAGAGTAGATTATTCAACGTTTCCAAACGATTGGGATCGACGATCACCGGTACCCGGCAACCGCACCATATGGTTGCACCCCTTATCCCGGGTTGCTGGGGATGAAATATTTTTTTAAAATTGAATCAGCACCTTTATTGACCGTGGTTTAAATATGAATCTGTTCAAATGAACAGATTTTAAGATATTTTAAAAAACAAAATAACATGAAAAAAAAACCCTCTCGTAAAGTCCGTCGATTTTAATCTGATACTCGAAAGGAATGTGAGCTGGTGGCACCCTACATTAGAACGCCAATAATCACCTGATATCACTCCCCCGAAGCCATTTTTGGATACCACGCCCAAAAACGTTAATTTTAATCCGTCAAAGCAGCTATTTATGTAACAAGTGTGTAAGGTGAACCTTTACACGAATGTGAATTTTGACAATCACATGACTAAAAAAAGGTGCTTTACACACATATTGCTTACCACTTTACGCACTAGTGCTTGAAGAAGTTTACTAGAAAAATACGAAATTGGAAATGTCGACATCTGTCATTGACATTACTTCACGCACTAGTGTGTAAAATGAATTTTACTTTACGCACTAGTGCGTGAAGTGAAATTTTACCTCTTTTGAATAGTGCGTAAACCGTAAAGTGAGTCCAGGTCCAGGGCTGGATAAACCTACCGGAATACCGAAAAATCCCCAGTGGGCCGATCTTTAAAACCACAGAACCTTTATCAAGATTCTTCCAAATATATGGCTCCAAACTGAACGAACAATCATCCGTATGGGCGGCCATCTTGAAAGTCAGGAATGCCGCAGCACTTGTGAATCAATAAAAGACACATAGAATTTTATAGGGAATATCGCAGTTTTAGAAAAAAAATCGGAAATAAAGAAGTTGACTTTTCAACTTAACCAAGATTAGCCGAGGAGGATTTTTTTCACTATTTTTCTGGGGTTTCCTGAAAGGTCCCCTACGACGACTACGTCATGGACAGCTTATGCGCTATTTTGAAATCACCCTGTATTAATGATGCTAGTAAGTTACTCCTGGATAAAGAAGCTATGATAAAACTTGCGATATTTCATCAAAATTTTCCACAACCGTATCCGAATCTTTACAAAATTCATTCGTTAAATTTTCCAAATATTCCAGAAAATACCACCAGTGAACAATATGAAGCGTCTAAAGTTAATAGAAGAATTTGAAAATGTGTTTGATTCAGAACAATAATTGAAAACTGTTGGGACAATCGATAATTAGGACTGTATGATGGCCAACAATGAGTTTTCTTCGCTTTCCTAGTCCCAACTTGCTTCTAAAATTCTTCCGAAGGACCAACTGAACTTAAATTATACATTTATGACAATTCTATTACAATGACAATAACAGGTACTAAAATTAACAAAAACTTGACTAAACTGGCCACTCTGATCTATTTCTGATTTTCTACTGAACACTAGTACTAATTAACCTAAAACTATCCTATTTTTAATAAGGTATAATTCCTGCTTTTGAAGATGAACGAAGGGAGAGATTCGAAGATTTCATATAACCGGCTGGTGCTGTTTCTGATTTAAAAATGAAATTGCAAGAAAAACAATAGTTGGATCACCTGTCCTTTACTTTACGTGGCGTAATTACACCTGTCGATGAAACTACAGATTTTCTGAGAGTTTTGGTAGTAATACAAAATTCCAATGGAAAAATAAGAGTTTTGAATTAATTTGTAAAACGACCCGTACAGGGTGGGCGAATTTGGACAGTACAAAAAAATGAACCTCGCACTCTGAGGCTCAAATTTCATGAAATTTTGATTGGTGCAAACCGCATTTTGATATCTTCAACCGTTTAACCGCTAGAGGGCGATTCTCGATTTTGAGCAATATTGGAAACCTTCATAACTTTTTTGTTTATGAAAATAATTGATTTCCGTAAAAACTTTCTGGAAGCGTTCTCAGTTTTTTTCTATTTGGCGCCGATTTTGAGATATTGACCAAAGTCTGATTTTTTTCAATGGGACACCCTCTATAATAATAAGCTCATTGAAAAACTATGATTTTTCTGATTTCAATGATATAAGATTCGATGGGTTTATCTCTCACCGTTTTCGAGAAAAAAAATTATTTCGGTTTTTCTCATAAAAAGCAATGTGATAGAAAAGAACTTTATATCTGTAAGGAAAATGAAAAAGGTCTTTTTATAACACATTGTTTCTTATGACAAAAACCAAAATAATTTTTTTTCTCGAAAACGGTTAGAGATAAACCTATCGAACCTCATATCATTAAAATCAGAAAAATAATAACCTTCCAATAAGCTATTAATATATAGGGTATCCCATTAAAAAAAACCGTACATTGGTCAATATTTCGAAGTTGGGGCCAACTAGAAAAAAATTGAGAACGTCACTGAATTCTGCTGAATCAATTATTTTCATAAACAAAAAAGTTATGGAGGTTTCACATTATTGCTCAAAATCGAGAATCGCCCTCTAGCGGCTAAACGGTTGAAGATATCAAAATGCGGTTTACACCAATCAAAATTTCATGAAATTTGAGCCTCAGAGTGGGGGGTTCATTTTTTTGTATCTCGCTCAGAAGTTGACGTTTCCTATTAAAAGTGTCCAAATTGGCCCCCTGTACATCCATCTGAGTCACCTTGGGAAGCTGTGTCAAACGTAGACTGCAATCCAAAGTATTTTCCATCACTAGACGCTACAAAGTGGCTATTGGTAATTGGAATTAGACCGACAAAGTAGAAAACTTACAACTTTTCTCATACCATGGAGAAGATTTGATTAATGGTTCTACAAGCGCCAATGGGATTAGTATTGTAATATTCCGAGAAAATAGACCCATAAATCACAATGTCTTTACTGTAAAAATTTAATAAATGTCAAATAATCAAAAACAGAATTTCCGGTATCTCCAAATCAGTAACAAAAAATTGAAAAGGATACAAATTAACTTTTAATATTATATTAGGTATTTCGTCATCAAGCCTGTGTCATCTCCTAAATCAATGAACTTTTAAGACCGAGGCCAAATAATTATAAATGATTTATGGCATTCTTGAACCAAAGAAATATATTGATCTCGATAAATTAGGATATTGCTACATAATTATTCGATTTTTTTAACTAAGAATGATAAAAATTTCAAGGAAATTGCATTATTATTTTTAATAATATTTAGGTCGGCCAATGGAATTGTCGGATTGCTAGGCAAACGACCGCCTATTGACGATTTGCGGGATAATTAATAATACTTTGCGGAGGGATCGATTTAATATAAATACCGCGGCTTTAGAAGTGGAAGGCAGGTTGTCAGTTGAGAGATGAGTTTGCAGTCCTGTCCAGTTTGAGTTCAAATCTACAGTACCTAAAGTGACAGTCATAGAAAATATTTGCGGAAAGTTTCTTGTATTGCTTCGGTAACAGTCTTTGTAAAAGTAGCGGAAAATTTTGAAAGAAAGAACAATTAAATTCGTCAACGTTTATATGCGTGCTAGCTAAAAATTTTTGAGTAATTAATTAATTTTACGTGTGCAAAGTTAAATGTAAGTACTTTAGTGTTTAATAGTTTTCTGACTTTTATCGATGATTCTGAATGATAAGAAGTGAATTAACAAATTACTTTCAATGGCTAAAAACTTGAGTGATTTTTACTAGAAATACTTTTGACTTTATAAACTTAAGTGATTGTTACTAGAAAAACTTTTGACTTTTAATTAACTGTGGAACTTTATTGCATAAATAATAATAACTCGAGTGTTTTATAAATGGAACATTATTGCATAACTTTAATTGCCTTCAGATATAATGACATTCTAATTTAATTTTGCACCAACAATATGAAACATAACATAAACAGTTTCGATTTGAATAGGGATTATTAAAGCAGTTTGAACTGGATGGTCCAATTGAAGATTAAAGGCTATAGTAACGAACTTATAAGAATTTAAATAATTTTGTATCTTAGCCAGGATGGCGAAAAATAGTAATTGTTCTAATTAAATGGAATAGGAAATTTTGAAAAGAATTTTGATGTTCATGAAATAGAATTGTCTTAAAATATTGGAAAGTTGTTAAAGGAAACTTATGATAGTAATTTGTTCTGTTAAAAAGGAAATGGGATGTGTCGAAAAGAAACTTGTGCATGAAATAAGATTGTTGACGGTTATCATTCAATGTAATGGAATGGTTAGTTTAAGAATTGTTGTCCTTCATGAGATAAAACTGCTGACGATAATCATTAGACGTATTGAAAAGGTTTTTCGAAATTTGTTATTCGTCAAGAGACATTGATAATCTTAAGGTTTAAAGTCAACCCCTATTTTCTGAACCTTGTGTTTTTAAGTTATATCGCAAAAACTGAAAAAAAGTGGTTTTTCACCATTTATTTCAAAACGAATAGATGAAGTTTCCCGTTATTTTTATTACGAACTACTATTGCAATTCTGCGCGACATATATTTTTTTCAAATTTTTTGAAAGTGTAGTTTTCTCGCTACTGCAAAAATAGTTGGAAATACGCCTGTAGCTACACTGTTTAAAAAAAAAATGCGAGGGTCGAACATTCAAAATTATTTGCGTTGGTCCAAATTACAACCCTATTTATGTAAAACAGAACAATACTTCGAATTTCCGCAAAAAAAAAGAAAAAACG